TACATTTTGAAATAAGTGTGTAATCAAATATTTTCAACGACTGGAAAGAAATTTGAAATATTTAAGAAAGTTTAATGGGTTTTTTTTCGGTGGTAGAAAATTTGCATTTTGAATTTCCAAACGAATAATTCAACATTTGAATTCAATACATACTCATTTAATATATTCATGTGAAAAAGTTTTTTTGAAAGTGCCTACTTAGATGTAAATCTGTTAAAATTAATTCATTTCATAAATCTCTTAAATTTTTTTTTTTAATTTTAAGGTCACATTTTTACTATACTTTTTAAAGAAACTAAACAATTATTACCTAAACTACATGAAATGAATTTTTTTCATCTTCATTTATTAACAATAGAATATTAATAAAAAAATCACTATTATCTGAAATTTCTATATTTTATTTAGAGTTTTTAAACCCTATTTTTTATCTATAATTTTGTAAAAATTTAAGCATTTTAACCTTTAATTTATTTTTTCAACTTCTGCGATTTAAACTAATATTTAAAAACTCATCCTAATTATAGTTGCTGTTGCAGTTCATTTACGTCGCACTAGAGCTGCACAATGGGGTATTGGCGATGATCTGGGAAACATCCCTGAGGATGAACCGAAGACATGCCATCACAATTTAGATCCTGAGCTGAGGGGATGGCACCCCCGCTTCTGTAGCCCGACGACCTGCGCACGAACTCGATCACTTTACGGTATAACAGTTTAACGAGGACCAATACCGCACACCCTCGGTCCCTACGCAGACTAATCCAAGTGAGCACCCACCCGCACTCTGACCGCAGCCAGTCATCATCTGCGGGACATCGTGTCTTAGCGATCAGTTCACTGGGGACTAATTATAGTTGCATTTGGATTTTTTAGAATTGGCATAACACACTTGGGTAAGAGATTTTACCTTCTCTACATTGTACTTAATACATTTTTTAAAAGTTGATTTTTGAAACTTAATGACTGTTAATTTCCATCAAACAATACTTCAAATTATGAAATATATTCCAATCAGTTTTACCTACTCACATGAAATTATAATTCAACGTAAATTATATGACAATTCAAGTTATACGTAAATGATATACAGATGTTTTTTTTAAAAATATTTTTCAATAATAATAAAAATTGATGAGCTAAGAAAGTCGTTTGAAATATTTGATGATTTGCAGAACTATTTTTCTATTATTTGTGACAAAATAGTTTTACTTTAATAACAATAAATTTACAATTTCTGAAATCCAAAAAAATGCTAGAGGTGAGGTATCCAGATATGATTGGTACAGCTTCAATATTAAATATTACACGAACCACAATTATAAGCAAAGTCGAGAAGTTAGATTGTTATGAACTAAGTCTGACGCAAAAAATGGAAAATACTAATTTTGAAAAACTCATGCGTGTATCTTGGGGTCATGGAACCAGTTTTTACTTGAGGCCGTTATAATTGAGGTCAGAATATAAAAGCTAATAATACTCCCATAAATAGTTTCGATCTTGTTAAAGTATAATATAGCTAAATTATGTGCATTAAACCATAATATAATTAAATTTGTTGCATTTTAAGCATAATACTGTTTAAATTTGTTGCCTTCAAATCGTAATATGACTTAAATTTGATGCATTTAAACCTTAAATTTGATGCGATTTTATGTGATGTTATGTTGAAGCATATTATGGTGGTTCTTAAACTAGATTGCACAATGAGATTCAACTTGACGCAACATATCTTATTAAAATTGCAGCAAATTTAAACCATAAAATGGTTCAAAATACTTATATGTGGAACTAGTGTTTAGATGAAAAAAAGTTACTTCTCATTACAGGTTTGATTATTTTACCGAATTAATAATTTTTTGATATTTCTATTTTTAGTAATAATTTTATTTTTAATAATATTTATTAAAAATAAACGCAATGATGAAAATGTGAATATTAAATGTGGAATGTAGGAAACTATTTGTAATGAGTGCGTTGATAATTTTGTTAAAATTGTTGTGTGCGTTAAATAGAGATTGCCAGAATTTTTGAAATAAAAGTTAGAAAAAAAATTAATAAACATGAATGAGTACCAAATATTTTAAATAAATTTGTTTATTAATACAATTTAAAACCCAATCTAAACAGATAAAAAGTACATTAATTAACTGCTTTACTGATGAATAAGAATAAGAAATAAAAAAGATTTTATCAATTAACATATCTTATTTATGGTTCATTTTAATAAATAAAAATCGTCTAATTTTTACAAGCAAATAATACTTCGTTGATTTCAAATTACAACTATCATTTAATTAAATACAATTATCATTTAATTATACCTAAAATTTGATTCAATTTCAAAATTCTCACAGTATCAGAAATAGTGAAGATAGTTCATGAAAATGAATTTTTTTAGAATAGTATTTTTAGAAATTAGTAAAGCCAGTGGTATATACCTAAAAATTAAAATTCGCTTTTGTTTTTAAAAAAGAATCGTTTAAAAATTGAAAATATTGCGACGTTTTTTTTTTCTTGAAATACTTGTAATTTAAATAATTATTCATAGAAAAAAGCTAAATTAAGTAAAATTCTTGCATAGAAAAACAGCTACAACCATAATTTATATTACAATATTTTGTGGTTCATTTATAATATGACCACTGTATTGTGGATTAATTTTAAATTGCTAATTATGTGGTATGAGCAATACTTTAACATTTTCCTTCAATCAAATCTCTGATTACACGTAATTTTAAATAAATAAATAAAAATCTGGATTAGATTAGACTGAAATAAAAAAATCTTGATTAAGTATATTTTTTTTATAATTCAAAAAAATTTTTTTAACGATTTAAATAAATAAGATTCATAATTTGTGGAAATATTTTAAACAGGAAACACGAAAAAATGCATTAAATGAAACAATATTGCACTAAAAAAAGCACAATTATATACTAGTAAGTAAAATACAAATGAATTGGAGCAGTGTTGTAATTACTAGCTAACATAATGAATAAAATTACCTAGAAATTTAGCATTATTGCATTTGTGAAACAGTATATAATAATTAAAATTATTAATTAGTATCAGTGAACAACATTGATGAAGAATGTAGAAAATTGAGCATCATTGCATTTTTTTGTGTAAGTAATAGTTTAAGGAACCATACATACTTAACAAGAAACGTAAAAATACACTAAATGAAACATTATTGCATTTAAATTAAGAAAGAATTGTATCGCAGTTAATAAAATACAAAAATGAAGCATTATTGCATTTGCTTGCTGACATAATTAATAAAATTATTAGGAAATTTAGCATCATCATTGCATTTGTTTATTGAAATAGTCCATACTAATAAAAATATTAGATGATTATCGTTGAGAAAAATTGATGAAATATGCAGAAAATTGAGTATCATTACAGTTGCTTGGTAAATTAATCTAAACTTCATTTAGAAAAAATGAAAACAAATTTTCAAATTATTTCTAGGCTAAACAGAACCTTGCCTAATTATATTAAAACTTCACAATCATTCGCCTCGATTCAGTTTTTTTTAAAAATTTTACAGAGTTTCATTAATGATAATATTTACTTTATTCCCAATTTCCTTTTCATCAAATATTTCATTCTTTTGGCTTATTTTCAGATCATGATAAATCATCGTCTTTTCAAAAATTAAAAAAAAATATCTGTCCAGTTTGATTCTTCTATCTAACCGTACTTGGAGAAACATCAGGGTGTCCAATATATATATACTGGTACTAATTTTAAAGGGAGGTAGAGAACCATAAAGAGGCTAGATACTTGTATAACAAGCCACAATCGGAAATACCATCGTATGCCGCTATGAGCATTTTTCTATTTTGAACCGTTTTGTCGCGTACCTCTAAATTGGTATTTTTATTCATCTAAAATATTTTGATTTCATGTTAATTTTATGTTTTCAAACAATTCTTATCAAAATTGTATCCAAATAAGCACAAAAATAGCTGCGCAATCGTATTGATTTAGCTACATTGTCAAGCTAGTTTCCAAATCATTAAAGTAAATAAAACAGCAAATACTAAATTTATTTGAATCAATTTTAAATAAAAATTAGTAAAAAACACTAAGATAATTCAGCTAAATAAAAGTATCTGTTAAAAGACGCAAGAAAGAAATAGTTCACAGTAGTATAGCTCCCCAAGTGGCGCAAGATGACATTCCCGGTCACGTGTTGATATAGTTATTCATCTTCTCTACCTCCCTTCCCGAATTTGAACATTCAAGGTCACTCTCCAATATTATAATCACCCTGTATATATATCCTGTCAGCCCTATATTAGTCCCTGATACATGAACAGAAATTACACCTCTTCTAAGTCATAAGCAGCACTTTCAGATAAGGTGTGATTCCTTAATATTCGCAGCGTTTCATCCAAGTCATTTATAGGTACATTTTCAGACAAGGTGTACCGCCTTTCATGCGAGACATTTTTCTGCCTATCATCTAAATACTTTGACGTTAAACTTGAATCCATCCATGGTAGTGAAGTCAAGCAGGGTCTCGAAGACAACCATGGTATGAAACCTGTGTTATGTTGAACACGTGTTTGGTTTGGAATGTTTACTGGAGAACTTCGCCTGAGAGTCTGGGAGGTACTTCTGAAAGAATTTCCATGGTTATATTGAGCTTCTAAATCCGTACTCATCACCAGCAGGGGTGCTCTTTCGTGTAATCGATGGTTTGCTTTCTGAACCAGAGAACACCAGATTAGCTGTCAAAATATATTAAAACTTAATCATTTGATGAAGCATAAAATAATTTCGATTTAATATGAGTAAAAATATCTTCAAAGCGCATTTAATTTTGCAAGAACCAAACTTTAAGCAACGGCAATAAATACGATTTATTTCTGAGAAATATGTAGATTAGAAGAAATTAAACTCATGGATGTGATATATAATTGCTCTAATTATTTTAATTATTGCTTAGTTAATTTTTGGCATTTTTCTTTTAAAGTGGGGGTATTTTTTAGAGTATTTCCTCAAATTTTTGTCATGACACAATATCTACAAGACTCAGATTATAATACAACCTTCATCATTTGAGGTTTGGAGGCCAAATTTTTTCCAGTGGTACTTAGTTTATTAAACAGATATTTTCAAAATTACCAAAAGTAGGTTAAAACTTCTATCAGGCAAAAACGTAAAGTGAAATTTTATGTGCTATCTCGCCTTTTGTGTATCTGTTTTAATTAATTTTGATAGAGAAGGACAAATTTATTTTAATTTTATGGGATATTATTACTTAACTTTTTTTAAACACCTTGAAAAAAATTTCTTAAAAATATGGATATTCCATGGTATTTGGAGGGTTTTTAATAAGACATTTATATGCCATAAAACTGCCAAAAAATAAGTTAAAGCAAATTTCTTATTTTCTTAATAGTTTTCATGGTAAAAAATTTTGGCCAAAAAAGATAAAAGTAATTAAATTTTTGCATAGAAAATTGCTTCGTATAGGCATACAAGCAACAGAATTTTTCCCAAGACATTATCCAATATTTGAGAGCGAATTTTTTTTTCCGTAGCTTAAAATTTTTTTTGAAAGAGGTCTATGAAAACGCCGCACCATCTCTGAATTTTGATACTGATTTTTCAGTTCTTAATTTTGTGTAAATTTAAATCACTTGCTCTTCCATCTATAATTTAACTGCACATCTTATAAAATTTTGTTATTTGCATTCCTATCTGGTGTAGCATTTTTAATAACCAGCGAAAAAAATTATCCTGAATAACTTTTGATTTAGTGATCAGATTTTCACGCCCCTTAATGGTTCACGGAGCGGATCTCAAACATGCTAAGTAACTAACACAGACGACACTAAGTTATGAAATCAGACTCAAAAACATAATTTCTTTGAACAAAATTTTTTTCGGATTTCTGACTTACAAAATATAGGGGTAGCCACAATCATGAAAATATGGTCCCAATAATTTGGTCAAGGAGAGCAGTCAAAAGTTTGGAACCCTTAATATTAATTTTACTTTTTGCATAATTCACCTTTTGTCGAGAGCTTTTTAAAGGAAATGAAAAACTTTTAGATGCTATTATAATTTGAATGGAATCTGTCGAATAGTTTCTGTGAAATTGAATTTTAAATAGACGACTTTTTTAAAACCTTATAATTGTGCGCAAAAATTTTTAAACTCACATAAAAAGCCTTCGTGATTTGGCGAATTACGTAAAAAGTCTCCTGACCATTATAAATGGTTTTAAGTATTGTCAGTCAATTTTGAAAACAACTTGTACTATTTTCTTGATGAAAACATACTGTTTGCATAGTTTATACTTACATAAAATCCATAGATCACTTCAAGTAAAAGCCCCGCACAACACGTAAGAAAACATATTAGAGTTAGAGTTTCTGGCATTTTCGATATAAGAAAAAACATGGCCAGCAGTCCAAGAAATATAAAATAAAGGCAAGCTGCTTTGAACATTTTCATGTTTCTCCGAGGACCCATTCTTCAACCTAAGATGATAGAAAAAGTATCTTAGTTTAATATTTACAGTGAAATTAAACGTAAATAAAACTTGTAAAGATTTTTTCGTCACTTAGGAAATTTGTAGGGAAAAAAGATAAAGGTGGTCTTATAGATATAAAGAACTTCATGATATATATATATATATATATA